ACATGCATATACACTAATCGCCTCATATATGCATCACCCCCATATGTAGCAAACAATGACAATTAGTAGAGAAAATTCCCCCAACAAAGTTAGTAGAAACTTACCTCAATTCGACCAACTCAATACTCAAATTAAGTTTTCCTTTACGAATTCACCTCCGCTCGACTCAGTCTAGCCAAAGACGACTTAAATAGATCACACAATGCAAGAGAAAACAATTTCAATTAATAAAGCTGTAATATTTATACAATTTTTAAAAAGTCAACCCTGGGCCCGTCCGGTCAAAACCCGAGTTTAAGGGTAGGTCTTGACTACCCATAGCCCCACGAGTCCATATACGTGTTTTATTTCCAAATCCGTATCCAATTCGACTCCTAAATCCCAAATTTTTATTTTTTCAAAACTTTGACAAAATCTCCAAATTTTTCCTTTAGATTCTCATAAATTTGATGTTAAATCTAATGTATAATCACGAAATATTATCGAAAGTTGATTAAAAATTACTTACCCGATAGTTTGGTATGAAAATCTTCCACAAAATCGTCCGCCATCGAGGCTAGGGTTCAAAATATATCAAAATGACACTAAGTCTCGGAATTACTCAGCTATATGCAGACTGCAAATGTCGCATTTGCGACATGCGAACCCCGAAAACGCAAACAAGGCATCGTAAAAGCGAACTAGGAGGAATTATGCTAAAGTCGCATTTGCGACCAAAATATCGCAAATGCGAAGACAGTTGATATCACAAAAGCAGCAGAAATCTTCGCAAAAGCGAATAACCCACACTCGCAAATGCGAGGAATATCTTCGCAAATGCGAACTCTTTCCCGGCAACCCAGTTTCGCAAATGCGATAGTCACATTTGCGACAAAAACATCGCAAATGCGATAGTCACATTTGCGAAAAAAACATTGCAAATGCAATGGAACCTATACCAACACTCAAAAATTATATAAAAATCATTCTGAAATCAATCCGAAACTCACCCGAGCCCCGAGGCTCCAAACCAAACACCCACACCAGTCCAAAAATATAACACGAACTCGCTCTCGTGATCACAACATCAAAATAACCTCTAGAATCACGAATCGGACGCCAAACGCATGGAAATCCCTATGAACTTCGAAAACCTTTGGAATCGCAACCACGCGTCCGAACCATATCAAATCAACTCCAAATGACGCTAAATTTTGCAGGCAAGTTCCATATGACGAAACGGACCTATTCCGAGTTTCGAAACCAAAATCCAAACCCGATAGCTTTAAAGTCAAACCATGGTCAAACCTAGGAAAATTCTAAACTTTTAAATTGCCAACATCCGCCAAAGGATGCTAAAAACCTCTAGAAACATCCAAATGCAAATCTGAGCATACGCCCAACACTACAAGAAATCAGCCTTATTGTAGCGACCAAAGTTGCTACAAAATCCCTAATTGTCGCCGCTAAAGGATATAAGTGGCGACTTTGGTGTTGCCACAAGCACAACCGTAACTGAATGTTATTTGTGGCGACATTTAAAGTCGCCGCTAACAGAACATATTTTGCGGCGACATAGTTGCCACAAAAGGTTAAAAAAACGCTACAAAAAATGATTCCACAAGAGTAAATATAAGTGGGGTCGCCACTGCATATTCACCTTTAGCGGCGACTTATATCGCCACAAAAAATATTATGTTCCGTGGCAAGGTTATGTCACCACTGTAAATGGCTTTTAGTAGCGACTTGTGTCGCCACAAAAAATTAAACCATGAAAGACATAATGTTTTTCTGTTGCAACTAAAGTCACTGCAAAAATAAACCAATAGTGGTAACTTTCATATCGCAACAATTACTAATTTTTGTGACAAAGTTATATCGCCACTTAAACTTATTTTCTGAGCGACCAAAACTAAATACATTTCCAGTAGTAATCTAATTCTCTAAAGATTAATACAGGGCCATTCATATCAATTGACTACCAATATTAAAAGCAACTAATAATATTTAACAAACACCAAAAGAATTTCTCAAGCCAAATATTATAAATATTTTCATTATACAAAGTCAATTACATATGTACTACACGACACTTCATTGTACATTATAATTGTACGCATATACATATCCCAAAAAGATAAAATACTAAGTGCCTTGTAACTACTCCTTGGTTGACACTTTTCTTGAACGTTACCACTGTTTAAGTGCCTTGTCACTGCTAGACTAAAGCAATATATATAAGGAACATAATGAGATTTGTTATATCCAAAAACATGCATAGATGAGTACAGTACAAGCTTTCATGTGCTTATAATATCCAAAAACATACATAAATGAATCACAGGTTTACATTACAGTTCTGTGAGTTTTGATATATTTGCTTAATTTATTTATACATATTTTGACATTTATTTATAAAGTTTAACTTGAAATCATAGATTATGTCCAACACACAAAAGGCGTATCTAAATCAAATTTCTAATCACTCTCGTAACTATAGGAAGACCCTTCCTCATTAAAATAAACTTGACTCTCCCTATAGATAGATTGTGTACACTTGGGTAGAGGACAAAAATAAGCTTAAGTTCGACCCCCTAATATCATGAGTGGAATTATGTTGTAAGCAGCATTGCCAACATACTCAAACTCAAGCCATGGAACAGTTCCATTTCAGCATATGTGATGGGCGGTAGACCAAATTTCACACCTTGAATTGAAACACTCAAACAAATGCACAAAAGACATTATATACAAGCCATGGGATACATTAATAAGTAATTAAAAAAAGTAAATAACCAAATAATAAACATGAAGAGGTAATAAAACATGGGATTTTTCTACTTAAGTTATATATAAGAGGGAATATTTGATCATCCAAAATGAAGTATTCAAACTTTTTTGATAGTTACTATCATAATCTCATCCATTTCCTCTAGAAAAGAAATCTAAACTCATTATTGCCTTTGGCGAGACATGAATGACATTATTTGTTCTACTCTGCTCCTTTGATTATTCAAAGTCATTCAGAGTTTTGTTACATTTGAGAGACAAAGAAGCTTTCTTTTTCAGTAAGAAGAAAAGAAGTGGGGATGAACACAAGATTGAGATTTTGATGTGCAATTCCTTTAGGCACTTATAAAAGAGAGCAGAAGACACACTTAAAAATTTATCCATTTTTTTGGTGCAATCATTTTAGAATCAGTTATAAATCAGTAAAGTAAAGTAAAGCAAATCTTTTTGTTCTATCATTTTCAAAATGCAATATGCATTACAACTGATGGACAATGCTCTCCTTTTTTATGAAATTACTTTCTAGACTATGGCATATTCATATTTATGGTTTAGCTTTTGAGAAAACTCATCTTTTGGCAGATTCAGGGAGGTTCTAAACTTGGAACAAACATGTAGAGAAAATAGAGAAGCATCTACTCTGCTCAAGACGCATCCATCTCTAGCTACAATAAACTAGCTGCCACTCCCTTTCAACAACTTCTAAATTTTCTGTTAATTAAATCATTTTATTACCAAATGATATGCTGGATCTTTCCAAGAACACTTTAATGATATTGAGAAGATAAAAGTTAATGATAATATAAACACCACAATGATAAACAGGTTTAACATATCTTACCCAACTAGACCCAAAGTGTCATGAATCTTATTTTTTGTTCAGTTCAAGCGTTTTAACCTGTGAGCATGAGACTATAGCTTCAGTGAGCATGAGACTATATATTTATGAAACTTAACACATAATCTCTTTCAAAAGAAATTGCCAACAAGGCTTTTACAAAACAAATTCTATGCATGAACACTAGACGACAACCCAAAACTCAATTTATAAAATTTTCTTTAGTCCAAGTTTTGCCCACATAGTTATGCTTCAATCATATCAATATTTTTACTCATCTAGAAAAATATCAAAGAAAAGACAACTAATCAATTATCATATCAAATAATATGCATTTGAGAGCAAATGAAGAAACTACCATTATAGTCTCTAACTTAATTCAAATACCACCTTCATCTACCAGGTGCAAGTATATATAGTTGCAAAATGCATCTGCTGTTGAAAGTTTCGTATTAAATAATATGTGTACATATATATATATATATATATATATATATATATATATATATATATATATATATATGCATCTAACCCTAAATTGATAGGCTCTAGACTCTATTTTTAGATGATCAAGAAAGCATTTTACATTCAGATTATTGATTAAGTGCTCGAATACATGCATCTAATTCTAATGTAAAAAATGTGTAGAATGTTTCAAAAGAACATCATTCGCAAAGAAGTATTATGTTTTCTTATAACCATACAATAACATATATGTGCCTTATAAAATAAAAAACTACATGTTTACTGATTTAGGCACATAACCATATAAGAACAAAATAAGAATGGAATGTCGACATTTAAAAGGTCTCTCAAGAAGAAACTTTTAACTTACCCAGAAAAAGAAATAGTTGAGATTCTGTCAAGACCGAGAATCGACAATAATACCAAATAGGATTCAAATGATTCTTTATGTGTGATTGTTTTTGTATTCCTATAGATTATCAAATGGCTGAGAGAAATTCGAGATGAAATCTGAGAATACAAATGTGAAATTGCTGAATAATTATCCCTAACTACATGTTGAAAATTTTGTCTTACAAAATCATTATAAAAAAATCCAAATGTAAATATATCTTATATAAATCAATATGGGTTTTCAGTTAGACATATAATAGTAACAAAATAAGAAGGTTTTCAGTTAGATTATGGAAGAGAAATCGTTCGTTCCATTGTACCTCCACGAAATCGATTACAGCAAAGCAACTTCTTTCCCCAAAGAAAAACGAAAAGATTAGGGATTTTAACATACCTGACAAATGAGATTCACATTTTTATTTGAGGGATTTCGATTTGGGTGAAATTTTAGCAGAAGAGTACTGATTTCTAGAGAGAGGACCGATTTCTAGTGGGAGTTTTGTGAGCTTCTGTTCTTCACTTTAATTTGTGCTCTTTGATCTGTTCGAGAGTGTTTAATTAGGAGAGAAAGATCTATTTTAATTTTCTTTTATTATTTTAAAAGTGAATAGGAGCGACCCAGTCGCTGCAAGACAGATTTAGCGACGACTTTTCAAAGGTCGCCACAAAAAATATGGAGTCAAAATTTTAATATTAGTGAGACTGAAAATTTCAGCCGAGGCGACCTAAAAAAGAGTCGCTGCTAAATATTTATCATCAGTGTCGCCACTAATAATCCAATTTCTTGCAGTGCAAGTTCAAAAACATTATTCGAGCCTATCAGAACCATCAATACTCCGATCCGAGGTCAAATATTCAAAGGTAAAATTTTGGTCAATTCTTTCAACTTTGAGCTTCTCAAATGAAAGTCGCTGCTTAAAATCATTTTCGAGCCACTCAAAAATCCGAACCGATAATACACACAAGTCATAATACACAATACGAAATTACTCATGATCTCAAACTGTCGAACGGGACATAATTGCTCAAAAGGCCCAGCCGGTCGTTACAAGGTGTTTGTACAATTGCACATTACTGAAAATATGGAATTGAAGAACTACAATTTTTAATTTATTAGTGAGATCCATACATAGTAACGAAGTAAATAATGACAAGGAAATTATAGCAGGGAAGATATTAAATGAGCATATATATTTTTGTCTCTTCATCAATTAACGTTTTAGGTACATGTTCCATCAAAATGTTATAATAGGGTCACCCTATCCAATACTACTATATTTAATATTGATACTTAACGGGAACTATAAGGACCATCCTATCATATGTAAAGCTATAACAACTACTTATAATTTTATAAATATATCTTTGTTTCTATCAAAAAAATCTTTAAAAGGAACTCGTATAGTATGGCATTGGTCAGCCCTCTTCATATCGTCATTCAAGAATATTTCACTTCTTGAATAATAATTGATGACCTTTCCATTAAAAGAGTATTAGAAGTCATAAATTGACCTGCATGACATGTGATATATGCTTTTTAGGCATTCATTTATTGTGAATTGAACAATTACCTCTACAGAACATGTGATATGCTTTAAATGAAAATTTCAAAAAACAAAATCTGTATATATGATGATTTTTTGTGAACATAAAAAATTACTTATGTATGTAAAAGTGTCAATGCGTAATTAATATAAGATAAACAATTAAGAAGGCATTATCCAATTCCATGAAATATATAGTAAGAGTACCCACACCAGCTATTAGATCTTACGAAGCAATATAATTTAAGCATAAGAAAAAAACGAACATACCAAAGAAACGTTAAAGCATAGCTTTATATATATATATATATATATATATATATGGACTCTCTACTTAGTGTGAAATTCAAAATAAACATGTCAAAAACAAAATATAAATTATCTAATTTGAAAGCTCTGTCTCATTTGTGGGTGAGGGAAGGGGTAGACGTGAATCTATCACCTTGTCTGGCACTCTTCCAAAGAGCATTGATGAAAATACAACACCACAAATTTCCTCAGAATACATAGTGCTCAGTCACAACCCATATATAATCAAAATGGAATTTTGTCAGCCTTTCTCTTCGTAATAGGTATTCTAAAATTGGCTGGTCTTGATTAATAAATGGATCCTTTCATTATCACATATTTTAATTATACTGCATGACATGAGACGTCTTCAAGCATAAATTAAACAACTCCTTCCTTAAACTTTTTGTTGAAATAGACTTTCTTCCTTGAGGCGTGAAGCACAGTGCACTTGAGTATAAAGAGAGGTGAAGTGAAGTCATTTTGATTCACCTCTACTTGTACAATATCTAGTTGCTTTTTCCCTCTAGCTAGCTACAACCTCCTTCCTTAATTTCTCTTTAAGAAGAACAAGTTTTTAGAATGGTAACCTTTCTACTAGTATTAACTTTGCTAGCAATATCGGTCGGCGCTGAAGATGGACTAAACATCAACATCACCATACTTGAAAACGCCACAGCACAAGGCGCTGGTATAAATACCTTTCGCTAATGGACTGTACAATGCTTCCTTCCTGAAGTAAATTAAAAGAAAAGAGATCAATCATATTGTTTATTTACTATTAATTTACTTCTTCGTTACGTTTTTGAGTTTAATAGTATGCCTAGATGGGAGCCCACCCGCTTATTATCTTGACAAGGGATTTGATAGCGGACTTTCCAACTGGATTATCATGCTTGATGTTAGTTATCTTTTCTTCTTCTTTTTGCTTAATTATTTAATTACTTTCATCATTACTAATTATATATATAGTCCCCAAAACATTTATTCTGCTTTAAACTATGGAGATATATATTTCATATTCTCTAGGGCGGTGGGTGGTGTTCGACCATCATTGAGTGCCAAAATCGTTCAAGTTCAATAGTAGGTTCTTCTACGAAAATGAAGAACCAATCTATGTTTGGTGGGATACTTCATAACACTCCCCAACAAAATCCAGGTGAAGCTCAGGTTTCAGCTCATATATATCTTGCTTTCATCTCTTCTTTGTTTGCATGTATTTTTACCCACTTCTTCTAACTGCAAACATTGGAATTGCTAGACTTTTACAACTGGAACAGGGTGAGGGTGGGTTACTGTGATGGATCATCTTTTACGGGCGATGTCCAAGAAGTTGATCCAGTAAGTACAATTACATACTGTCTCATATCCATAAATATATCAATGAATTTTCCGGTAACTTATCTTTCTGATTGCAAATGTCAAATCTATATTAGGAGAACAAGCTTTTCTATAGAGGGGCGAGAATATTTAAAGCAGTTATGGAAGATTTATGGATCAAAGGAATGCAAAATGCTAAAAATGTGAGATCGCTCATATATTACATGACACCTACTATACATTATTATACTTTTCAGTAACGCAAAATAAAAAATAAAAACGCAATGTTAGGCAATCCTGACTGGATCATCGGCCGGAGGGTTGGCTACAATCTTGAACTGCGACAAGTTCAAGTCCTTCTTTCCCGATGATGTCAAAGTAAAGTGCGTTGCAAACGCAGGCTTCTTCATCAATGCGTGAGCTCTTCTTCCTCGTCTTATTAATTTATGTGTGTATGCTATTTGGAACTCAAGCGTGTTAGGATTATTTTATACAGGAAAGACAATCTTTGGTACTTCATACATTCAAGAGATGTATCACAAAGTTGTAACTTTACATGTGAGTCTCATCTCATCTTTTTCTTTTTGGGTTATAAAAAGGTATATATGCGTAACAAGTATATTGAAGTTAGAATCTTTTTATATTAGTAATAAATTTTTCCTCTCGTTTAAGGGATCGGCTAAGAATTTGCCTCCATCTTGCGCCTCTGCAATGGAACCAAGTCTGGTAAGAGTTTTTATAAGCTTTTTTGAAATAAAAACCTTTTCTGCATGCTATATAAATATTGCCCTCTAACAATCTCGTTTTTTTTTTTAATAATGATGCAGTGCTTTTTTCCGCAGCATGTTATTCCATATGTTCAGACTCCACTTTTTATTATTAATTCACACTATGACGCTTGGCAGGTCAGGGAAACAAATGCTAATTCTCTTCGTTTTAAGAATTTTGTTAATTCGTTTCTTTTTTTATTTTCTATAAAATCTAAAAAGATAATTTCTTCCAGATTAATAATACTTTGGTTCCTGCATACCTCGATCCGCAACATACCTGGGATCATTGCAAGGTTCTAATAAGTAATTGCTCGTTTAGCCAGCGTATAATTATTCAAGGTTAGCCCATTTTTCCACTAATACCTTTCAGATCACACAAGTATAAATAGCTTTTTTTCTCCTCTAATTCTAATTAATGATCTGTTTCACTTGTTTTCTTCTTTTAATATATAGTTTTTGGAGTAGAGTTCTTGAAGGCATTTGAGGGACTCACCCCTTCTTATACGAGGGGTTACTTCATCACATCTTGTCACACTCATTCTCAAATTATATGGACGAGTTACTGGTACAGTGCTACCTCTCCAAGAGTACTTAATAAGGTAATCTTTCTTTTGTTTTATCCATATAGTGTTTGAATACATGTGCTTTTTTTTTGTTTTTGGATTTATCATGTGTCTATCATTCGTAATTTTAATTTACGAGTTAATAACAGATTTTGTTGTAACGTTTTATCTGTGTAGACAATTGCGGAAGCTGTTGCAGATTGGTACTTTGATAGAGCAGGGTTCCATCAATACATAGACCCATATCCATGTGCTAGAGATTGCTTGTGAACTTCATGAAACTTTTTAAAGTAATTTTGTGCTAAATGCTCTGCTGAGCTGTATAGAAGTACTGTTCAGTATTCAGTGAATGAAAAATTAACTTTTATTTAGATTCCAATTACCGTTTGTGTCGCTGAGTATGAAGTTCTTACCATATTCTAACTTCTGCTAGATAGTATATATATCTGACCATATTGGCAAAGTTGGATCTGTTATTTCACAGATTTCTTTAAAATCTGTAAAAGGATAATTAAAAAGTCGGACAAAGTTAATGAAATAGAAGAATAAAAGTTGCATTTATGTAAAATTTGCCTACCCCGTCCTTCTAAGATTCCAGATATGGTTGGTTATTTTTTTAAAACATATGTCAAAAGCCATCCATATATAAAAAATAATATTAATGATAATAACTATCCATATATAATAATCTACTGTGGAGTTACCTTTTTGGGCCGGATTCTGAAAGTTGAGAACCCATTTTGATCCTCTTCATCAAATTAATATGGCCACTTCATTCAATAAGATTTCCTTTTTCTTTTTTTGTTAAGCGCAGTTTTTCTTTACGTAGATTCACGCAAACTTATTTCCTTTTTTCTTTTTCATAATATTATTGTTTGCAGTGCTGCTTAAATTGACAAACTGGAATTCTTTTACCCAAAAAATTGCAATACAAAAACATCTTTCTTTAGGCGTGATTTAGTTGAGAAAACTGTTTACCCTTAAAATCGGATAACAATTAAACTTATAATGTGGTTTTAAGGACACGTGATTTCACCTAATACCAATAGATAAATATGAAGATTAGTAATAGAAAATTGACAATAACGTAAAGCAAACTAGTGTTGAAATGCAATTCAGCCCTCGAGCTAGAGTGCCCTCGAACTGACTGATGCTAAAGTAATGAAGCAGAAAGTAAACTGATGAACAAGAATGTATAAGCGAGAGAGAGTGTTATATTGCTTTGATATGTGTGAATAATGTGTCCTACAAATGATTAGAACTCCCCTGTAGAGGAATTCTACTTATGATACAATTCTAATTACAAAAGGAAATCTTATGATTAACTAAACAACCACTCTTGATTCGATTCGTTCTGAGATTTCCGCCATAAATGTCGACCAGCCATGGATATCTCGCCTTCTGTTATTATGTTATCTTCGGTCATGCTCGATGTCTACCTTGTTTGGTCTCGATTCGTACTGATCCCGATTTTGACAGGTACCTCGAATTCCGAACTCAGTACCTTGTCCTCGTGCCTCGGTCTGATCTCCTACGGGGCCGACCTTCGATACATTTCCCTAGTCTCGGTCAAATAGCAAAATCGGGTGGGCCCGGTTTCAACCGTATACAGATAGTCCCCTCGTTTTTTGGAGTGTAATGACAAGAAATGAATTGAGCCTTCGATTTTTACCTCGACCTGTCATGACGTCACCCCCATGATGTAGCGACGGAAGTGACCAAAATATCCCGTCGGTACAGTTCTCCAAGTTATTAATGTGTGTCAGCTGGTGGTCGGCCACTAGTGCCCTTGAACCGTCGCCGTGAATCCCATAAATAGGCCTCTTTTTACACTCTTTCAAAATTTACCTTCAACCTTTTCTACTTTAACCTTCAAAGTTTTTCAAGTTCTTCATCTGCAAATCTACAATTTTCACTGCTAACCTCTTCTTAGAATACCAATTATTCTTGTCATCTTCATCTATCTTTAACTTCAAAACTAAATGGTGAAAACATCAAGAACAGTACCACAAAAAGAAACTGCTTCATCTTCTCAACCGGCCGGCGGGAAAGCGCCGGTGGAAAACTTGCCTCCATGATTGCCTGGGGGGTGTGCAGTCATCTCCGATTTCAAGACTGAGAAAACTTCATCGGTCCCCGGTCATTGCGAGCTGGTATCGAGATATATATGCTCGATACCCAAGAGTTACATCGACAAAGTAAAGGAGGACTGCAACTGGCAGAACAAAGAGGTTGTGATACCGGCCCCAGATGAGGCTATTACCACCCAGGTGAAAGGGTACTTGAGTGTTTACACTTATCCTTTCACGTTGGTTCCTCTTGACCCAATCATCGTGGACTTCTGCAAGAAGTACCAGGTCACCATCGGTCAGATTCACCCCTTTTTTTGGAGGATTGTCATATTGCTACGATTTTTCTTGAGCAAAGTAGATGGGCTCCCCTTCACCCTCGACCACCTCGTCAGGTTATACAGCCCTCGGCTTTACCGAGGTGGGTTAATAAAGCTCCAACGCCGAGCCACCAAAGTCTTTATCTCCGGTATAGACGAGGACAAAGACCGAGGTTGGATGGGTCGCTTCGTTAGGGTGAAGACCTCGGACATAATATCGGCTGAAAAGATGCCATTTTTCGAGAAATGAAATATGAAATATAAGTACGATCCCCTTCTATTTGTTACTTGGTTTCTCTGCTTTCTCTCACTGATGGTCTTTTTCAATGTAGCCACTGCCTGGATGCCCGATGCCATCCCTGACCTTAAGAGCTGAGTTAGGGACCTAGTCTCGACATCAACGTATGTTGAACGTGCATGGCGCGACTTATCAAAGGGCCGACGGTAAGCCAAAATCATGGTGAGCCCCCTTTTATGTGTTTGTTAATCTCGTAAAAATGTTTTTCCCACACTTACTCAATTTTATTTTATATAGGCCTTAGCAAAGATGCAGTCATGAGGCCCCCGTCTAGTGAGGAGGAGACTTCGATCCCGGTCCCGAAACCGGCGAAGGATGAAAAGAGAAAAATGACCTCATCTTCCGAGGATCCAGAATCCAAGAAAAAGGCGGCTCGTAAGCCGAAGAAGGACATCGTCCCCTTGCCTGCAGAGTCAATCCGAATCCTAAGGGAGGAGGAAGAGGAGGAGGATGACGACTCTGGGCTGGTGGCCCGAGTAAGGATGAACACCGAGGCCCCAAAGGCCGCTGAGTCGGTGAAGGTTGCAAAGACTCCGCCTCGAGATGAGGGGGTCTTAGAAAAAGACTTGGGCGGAGTCCCCGAGTCGTCGGGACTGAAGATGCCTCCTACCGTAGTGGGAAAACGGAGGGTACGGCTGTAGGGGCTGGCCTCGAGGCCCCTCGAGATGTAGATATCGGAGGCTCCTCGTTGCTCCCTTCGTTATTTGAGGGGATAATTCGGGAGGCTCGAGCCATGAAAACCCCCTCCATAGAAGGAGCCCAAGGAAGGGAGGACCCCTTCCGTGACTACTTTACTGGGGTCGAAGATGCTACCGGCCTGAGTGACTTGGAGGTCTCGGGGAAGGACTCAGGCGAAGCATCCACTCTCTTCAATGAAGCACAACAAGCTCTGAATCGGGTAAACCTTAGCTCTCTCGTCGATATTAGCTGTGAGGACCTAAATTTTGATTATACTTGAAATTTTTCAACACTTTTTAGTATGTAAATAATTTTATGTTTAATCTACATATTTTAACCTTTATTTCATTTTTAGTAGGTTTTATTTAAGAAAATTAAAATCACAAAAAAAAATTATATGTTCTTGATTTTAAAATATTTAGCTAGTATTTTTATTTAACACTCTTAAAAGAAAAGAAAAAACATTAACTAAAGCAAGAGCCAATAAGTTATTTCCATGTATCAAGATTCTTCCTTATCTTGTGTAACAAACTCACATGTTCTCCCATAAAACTCAGATGCACATACACACTCTCTTTTCTTGGCCACCAATTAATCCCTATACCTAGACCTATATATCTTCCGTACACACAACACAGAGAGACCTAATCTCCAAAAAGAAGCAACAGCCGAAGCTAATTCCTCCAACCTTAGAACACCCAGCGGCCCACCCCCTAAAACAACCCCTGCCGCCTCCAACCTCAAAAGATCAAATACTCCCCAAAGTATAGTTTTTCAACTAAAATGACATGCACACACAAAGAGGGGGATGAAAATTTGGACAGAAACTTTAGGTTTTTGTTCTAGGCTTCTAGCTTTTCTAAGTTTTGGTTAAAAATCTAGAATTTCAAAAAAAATACAAAAACGAAAAAAAATACAAATATTCTTTCATGTTTCTTCTGCTGGACTACCATTCCAAAACCATGGAATTTGATTAATCTTAAGGTCAATTCGATTTTATCTGATTGGGTCGTCGGTCGAGGTCCAAGTTCGTGGGTTTTCCGATTCGCCTCACCACTATCTTCTTCGTTCAGATTTTCACCTTTTGTGAAGCTGTTTCAGAAGCTCTATTTCTCATATATTAAAGAAAGCTTGCTTAACAGGTTCTTTCTTTATTTTTCTCTTGTCTATTTAAGTTTATTTAATTTGAATCTTTTTTCGCTACATGTCCTGTTTTGTTTCTGTGATTAAACGTTTATAATCTTGAATTTGTTTGGTTTAGATACGTTGGGTTATAATTTTTTTAATTAACCTTAAGAGTTTACTGTTTTGAACTCTTCATTAGACATGTAATCTCTTTATGTTAAATTTAAGTATTAGTCGAGTAACTTGTGTTTGTTCTCCTGCTGGTTTTGCTAGCACTTTGTGACTGGATTTCATCATCTCCTTTACAGACCCTTATTTTGGTTTTTGTTTGCTGTTTAGATTATGTATCATAACAACAATTTGATATTGATCTGTAAATTTGAACAATTATGTACTAGTATTGAGAATGGTTCCCAGATGTTTATTCACGTTATCTTCATCAATTTCTTATCATACTTTGTCACCAAAGTTTCTGTCCTTTAGCCTATCCTTTTAAGGTTTACATTTCTATCATTCATGAGATTAGGCACATGTATACTGATTTTCCCAAAATAATTCCATCATTAATAGACTTACTCATTGATCTCAAAACGAGGAAATTAAATAATTTATAAACATTCGTAGCTTGATTTAGGTGCGATTAAATAAATTATCGTGATTATGGGTACGGCTCCCGTGGCATGGTCATGATACGTAAATCCCAATCCGAGTGTGTGTTTCATGTGACTCGACCTTACAACTTCAAACAATTAAAATTAACATATTGTAAATTGCGGGTGCGTTTCACATGGCGCGATTTACAATATGTACAAAAACAACAAGTGCGCGACGTCGCGACTTGTTCAAAATAATTCCATAAATAACTAAAACGGTTAAATAAATAACTAAAAGTGGTTAAAAAGTAAAAAATACACAATTGATTTTAAATATGTATTAAATCAAATAATTAGGCCAATTATTAATAGTTGAGCGACCGTGCTAAAACCACGGAACTCGGGAGTGCCTTACACCTTCTCCCGGGTTAACAAAATTTCTTACCCGGTCTTCTGTGTTTGTAGACCATAAATAAGAGTCAATTTCCTCGATTTGGGATCTAAAATAAACCGGTGACTTGGGACACCATAAATTATTCCAAGTGGCGATTCTGAATAAATAAATAATCCCATTTCGATTAATGTCACTTTAATTAAAAAAACTCCCTATCCCCTCGGGAAAAAAAGGTGTAACATTACACTTTGTGTTTATTTTTACCTTCCTGTCTAACTTCTTTTCTTCTTTCCGTGTAGGTCTCAGTGCTTCATCAGGAAGCATTTTCCAAGTCTCGAGTTGAGCTGAGTCGGTATGAGGCTGACATCCAAAGGCTTACCGAGGAGAGGAATGTCCTCAATATTCTCAGTGGGTAAAAAGAAGAAGAGATCAAGGACCTCCGAGCCGAGTTGGCCGTGGCTCATAAAGAACAGACCTACCTGATTGAGCAGGTAATGAAAATCTTAGAAGCTCATGGCATCGGTTCGAGAACGATGGCTAACACTTCAATCTCACAGGTTCAGCAGAAGATCGAGAGGATTGAGTAGTTTTGTGAAGAGGTCAATATGATGAAGGCGGAGACCTTGGGATAGAATCAAAATATGGATCGCCCGCCTCAGAGATGGAGGCTGCTCGAGCCCAGCTGTCATCAGCTAAAAGTCAGCTTCAGGCCATGAAGGAAAAGAACTTGGCATATGCCAAGAAAATTGAGGAGCTCGAGGCTCGGTTGGCCGCCGAACTTGCAAAGGCCAGATCTGAGGCTGAAAAAGCTAAGGCCGATGTGGAGGCGATCGTGGCTGTCTACCGGTCTGATGTTGAAGCTGATCAAGCCCAAGAAAGAGAGTCTGCTGAGACCGCTCAAACTCGAGCACACTGGGTTGCCGAACTCGCCAAGTGTCAATCTCGGAGGGAAACCCTCGAGGAGATCCATGGCCGAGGTTTCGATCTCACTGATAAGATAGAAAAGGCCAAAGGGCTCAAAGCCGATGCTAGGGCATTGGCCTCCTCTGATGATGATGATGACACCGGGAGTGATAGCGGGTCTGAGANGTTTCATTCATGCCTTATGGAAATTTTGTTTATAAGTTCGAAGCTTAGGCAATTTGATCGAAGTCGGACTAGTGTAGTCTTTATAATCGAGTGAGTACTTTCTCGAACTCGAAGTAGGGTGTCATGCCCCAAAACCGAGAAGCACGACCGGCGCTCAACCGAGTGAACCCGACCGAGAAAGCCTGTTAGATTCCTTCTATCCAAACTCATTCATGAATAAAGAGAATATATGTTTTCCTTAATTAAACAATAAAGTGGTCATGTCTGCAATTACCAATTTCTTACCATAAGTCTCACCATTTTTAAAGTCTCAAATGGACAAGTAATACAACCATAACATAGCATGGTTTGTCTTTTCCAGCACCAATACACAACCCACACTATGTCTACGGAGCCTCTATAGATAAAGATGAGTACAATGATAATGCCGGCAACAAGGCCCCGGCTATACCTCAAACAGAATACACAAAGACCAAAAGATACATGACCCCGGGATGAAGTGAGGCTCATCAAGTCAGCTGGAAAGAAGGTGTACTGCTATCACTGATCAATATCTCCTACTGTGGAACCGCCTGCATCCATTTAAAGATGCAGCGCCCCCGACAAAAGGGATATTAGTACCGTCGAATAGTACTAGTATTAAAACTAAACACCAATTTAAGAATTCAGAAATACAAGCTGAATATGATGAACCAGTGCGACATTAGTACAATATAGGTAACTGTTTAAACTAGAGCAAGCTTATTAAGAGCTATCAATAACATTTATAGAATTTAAGATGAGGTCCTCTGTAACCATCTTCACACAAAGCGGCCCCGCCGCCTCACCGGATGTTTGCAGGTGAAGATGTAAGTACAATACCACAACTCTACTCAAGCGGCCCTGCCGCCTCACCCCAATGTATGCGGGTGGATGTTTAACCACAATACCAAGAACCTACACAAGTGGCTATGCTGCCTCACCCCAATATTTGCAGGTGAAAATGCATCAACGACACCAATACCAATACAAAGCGGCTATGCCACCTCACCCCAATGTATGCGGGTAAAAATGCATCAACGATACCAATACCAACACAAGCGGCTATGCCGCCTCACCCCAAAGTATGCGGGTAGAAATGCATCAACGATACCAATACCAACACAAAGAGGCTATGCTGCCTCACTCCAATGTATGCGGGTGGAAATGTATCAACGATATCAATACCAACACAAAGCGGCTATGCCGCCTTACCCCAATGTATGCGGGTGGAAATGCATCAACGATACCAATACCAACACAAAGCGGCTATGCCGCCTCACCCCAATGTTTGCAGGTGGAAATGCATCAATGATACCAATACCAACACAAAACGGCTATGCCGCCTCACCCCAATGTATGCGGGTGGAGGTGTATCAAAATCCCAATCTCTACACAACTTGGCATAATAACTTTCACATAAATCACGACTTGAAATTATAACATGTGGATACACAATCCATAGTTTGAAACACATCCTCAATTTATAATGCAATATGATAAGAGCATTTGAAACACAAATTGAACATATATCTTTACCACAAAACTTATCGGAATACTCGGTTTGTAATCAACATCTTGGAACTTACAAGGATAATGGGAATTCTAATTATTGAAGAAGAGTTTAGCCAACATACCTCAATTGAACTTCCTTAAACTCTAAAATATTTCGGAATTCTTAGCAACTTCAATCTATTTTAGAAATATAACAAATTGAACCAAAATTAGGAAGATGATTATGGTTCTAGCTCATTTGAGCATTTTATCAAACACTAAGTGTGCATTAAGTTTCAAGGCTCTTTTATGGAGGATTCTATCATCCCACAACCCAATCTTTACCATTCTTAGCTCAACAATCTTCCTACACCCTTTGATAACACATGCATGTAAGATAAACAACTCTCATGCCTAAAAATTATCTTGCTAATTATCCATTTTCAGATGATTTCGAAACTAGGGTTTAGGGTGTAGAATCTTACCTCTAGGATGAAGACCTAGTGAGCTTACCTTCTTAATCATCCAAATCTTGAGCAAGAATTGAAAAACAATTATTGAAGAATACCTTCTCACTCTAGGGCACTCTCTCTCACTCTAAAATATCAGATTATAGCTCAAAATTGACCCAAAACGTGTATTTAACGAAGTAGGGTCGGATTTTAAAAATCCAAAAATGGAACTCCAGAACAAGGTATGCGATCGCATAACCGATATGTGGACCGCATATCGGTCGCATAATTGGTTACAAAATAGCCAAAAGAATTGTCTGTGTATGCGGTCACTATGCGGTCTGCATAACTTTTATGCGGTCGCATAATGCACCGCATAACAGTTATGCGGTCGCATTGTCGACCGCATAGCTGCTTCCAGAATGGCCTTCTCCTGCTCACTTCTGCGGCCATTATGCGGCCCAGAGAGGTATTATGCGGTCGCATAATGGACCGTATAAATGCGCTTTTCCGTCAAAAAAATTTCTTTACTTTCCGGTGCATTGTTCAACTCAAAAAGTCCGAGCCGAAACATTATTTTCTTTTGCAAACTTTTATGGGGCCTTACATAGAGTGACCCTTAGGTTTTAATTGAATGAGGATGATCTCTCGAACTCAAAAAATAAATGGCCCTTAGGCTCTTGAATTAGGCCTATATGGCCTTAAAAAGAATGGCTTTTTTCCCTTTTCGGCTTAAAAAGTTAATTATATAAAAATTTGTTATACCTTAGCACGAGATAAATCTGTACCCATTTGGGTTTTCTAGGGTTGGTGTTATCGAACCCTTTGTTTCGTTATTCCTTACCATGAAATAAAATTGTTCTAGGGTTCAAACAATTTGGTACCCCTTAGGGTTTTCGAGGGTTGATGTTATCGAAACCCTTTGTAATTTTGCCGAGGGTAGCCTTTTAAACCAGTTTTGTGAAAATATTCGAAGGCCTGTTTTATTACAGAATTCGAACGTCACCGAACCGTGTTAATTTGGCCGTAACCTTTAGCTTGGGATTTGCCTCTTGGGCTTGTTTTCTGGTTACACTTCGAACTTGTTCGAAGTGTAAGTCCCCGAGTTGGGTGGTTGTGGCCCATAAAATCGAGGGTTGCCTTTTTAAGGTCTTACGATCTCGAGGCTTTAGTGATTACGTCAGTTTTTCGGACTGCAGTCCCCGAGTATGGAGTTAGTTTTTTGAACTTCAGTTGTGATCGGCCCTAAAGCATGTTTCCACAATAGATCAAAAGTATGAAATTTTAAAGTAAATCTCTAAGGCATGAAATATTTGGCAAGGAAAAATACTTCTCTCAATAGATTATACATGCTACATGTTTGCCATTAGGGCCCGAGTAATTTACATGGGCACGGTTCGTTTGACCATTTGGCCCTTACATACAAAATTTACCTATCGAGACCCTGTTGACACGAAGTACTTTCCTTGTAACAAAGTTGACATTCGAGGGTGATTCCCCCCAGTATTCGAGGTTAATTGTAAAGAAGCCTCGGATACTGTTGAATTGCTCTAAGTTAGCACGAACAATGGTTGCCTAGTTAAAAACCTCACCGGAAAAACCCATTTGGGACAAAAACCGGTCTAGGGAAAAAAGAGTGCAACGTGTGCTTTCAGACCTAAGGACTTTGTGTTGAAGAATCCCTTGATGTCTTCGATTGAACACCTGCAATTGGTTAGTATAAAATATAAATGAAAATGGATAAGGTCGTACCTTAACAGTAATATCGTTTGAGGAGTGATATGTTCCAATTGTTTGGCAATTGCTCGCCGTTCATCGTGGCAAGTTTGTAGGATCCTTTTTCGACGATATCGAGGACCTGATATGGTCCCTCCCAGTTTGGGCCAAGATTTCGAGTATTGAGGGTGACTTTTCTCAAAACTAAGTCTCCGATTTTAAAGTGTCGAAGATTGGCTCTTCGGTTGTAATACCTTTCGATCCGTTATTTCTGTGCAGCCATTCGAACGAGGGTGGCTTCCCGCCTTTCATCTAGCAATTCGAGGCTTGTATTCATAACCTCGTGATTTGACTCTTCCGTTGCATACCGATACCTGAAACTAGGTTCCCCGACTGCGACCGGGATCAGAGCTTCGGCACCATAGACTAAAGAGAATGATGTTGCCCCCGTACTGGATTTCGACGTTGTACGGTACGCCCAAAGGACCTCGGGCAATATTTCTCTCCATTTTCCTTTATCATCGGTCAATCCTTTCTTTAGATTTTGAATGATGGTCTTGTTTGTCGATTCTGCCTATCCGTTCCCACTAGGATGATATGGCATCGATATAATTCTTTTTATCTTGTGTTCTTCGAGAAACTTTGTCACTTTACTACCGACGAATTGCTTTCCATTGTTGTATACGATCTCGGCAGGCATCCCAAATCAACATATAATGTGGTCCCAGATGAAGTCTATGACTTCTTTTTCTCTGACTTTCTCGAAGGACCGTGCTTCAACCCACTTAGAGAAATAATCAGTCATAAACAAAATGAATTGAGCTTTACCTGGGGCCGATGGGAGAGGGCCGGCAATATCCATTTCCTATTTCATGAACGGCCATGGGGATAAGACTGAGTGGAGTTGCTCTCGGGGTTGGTGAATCATCGGCGCATACCTTTGACATTTGTTGCACTTTCGAACAAACTCTTTCGTATCCTTTTCCATATCGGCCCAATAGTATCCTGCTATGACGACTTTGTGAACCAATGACTCGGCACCAGAATGATTTCCGCAAGTGCCTTCGTGAATTTCTTATAGGACGTAGTCGATATCTCCTGGACCCAAACATATTGCCAACGGTCCATCGAACATCCTTCTATACAATGTTCCATCCCCGGCCAATGTGAACCGTGTGGCCGTTGTGCGTAGAGCCCTCGATTCCTTAGGATCCGATGGAAGCTTCCCATTCTTTAGGTATTCGATATACTTATTCCTCCAATCCCAGGTCAGACTTGTGGAGTTTATTTCAACGTGGCCTTCTTCGATTACTGACTTCGAAAGTTGTACGACAGTCCCCGAGCTAAGCTCGTCATCTTCGACCGCTGACCCCAAATTTTTAAGGGCATCGACCTCGCTGTTTTGCTTTCGAGG